TTTCTATTTTGAGATTAGATCATTCTTAACATCAGTAAGAATCTTTATGAACCTGAAATTAAAAAATAAACATGAATAACTATCCTATTATGTGCATAATATATTTGTACAGTGGAAGCTCAGTTCACGAATTTAATTCGTTCCTAAAAGCCGTTCGTAACCCGAAATGCACGTAAACCGAAACTATTTTTCCAATAGGAATCAGTGTAGAGAAAAAAAGGCACAGTACAATAAAATTGGAAAAGAAAAGCAAGACACAACACACGAATGTATACAACATGGCGGTCAAATCAGAAATGATTCCGTTCGGATTAACTTGGTTCGGCAATGTTGTTCGATAACCGAGGCTTTTTCATCTCGAAATTTCTGTTCGAAAACCGATTTGTTCGACATGTAAGACGTTCGAGGAGCGTTGTATTATATTTGTTTACAAATTGATTATCAACACTTGAGTTGCATGATAAAACCTCACACCATCAAATAAGTTATTACAAATTTTTCTAATAAAAAGTAATAAAATTATTTCTAATAGTCTAAGTGGAAAATATGTGTCAGTAAATTATTAAATAATTTTAATTTCTCAGTTTATAAACAAAGAACGGTTTTATTTATTTATTTTTATTCGAGGTTTTCTGATGTTTTGGATAATTAATGTTGTATATCATCCTTATATTGGTTACGATTATTTACTGTATACTTACATTGAGAATATCATCTACAGAACATGTGAGAAATGAGGAAGTTTTAAGGAAAATAAAAAAAACTACAAAGAAATTTCTGCTAACAATCAGAAGTGGAAACTTTGAGACACATGTCGAGGAAAGAAGACTTCGAAAATTGAACACTCATAGAATATATCGAACGAAGAGAAACAAAGAAAAGCAGTGTGTAACCTAATATCCAAATCGATAGTGAAACAAGTACCAAAAATACAAGTAGTAATCATAAAAGAACAACTATTTCTGAGAGGAAGCTGTGGCGAGCCATAATCGCCAACGTCTTTAAGGGATATAACACAAAGACAAAGCGAAGCTATTCGACAGGCTTGATGTTGTGGTACGATCCACCTAATTTACATAGTGGAGTACCGACCATATAAATATGGTTGGTACCGGGAAGACGGGGGAGGAAGAAGTGATCCAATCCAGGGACTCTGCCCGATTGCGACTAAGTCAACCCATTCTACAGGAACGGTCTTCCCAAGAATATACCAAACTATCTGTAAATATTGTGTACACTTTCTTGTGTCAATACATTTTGTTTAAGTACATTTTGTGTTGTATTATTATTATTCCATGCTTTATTCAAGTTTCAACACTTGATTAAATGAATGGAGGTACAAATACCACAAAAACAAATAGGTGTCATAAAGGAATAAATATTGCTGAGAGGAAGCTGTGGAGAACCATGATCAACAACGTGATGAAGGGGCATGGTGCATAGACAAAGATAACCTACTTGATAAGTTTGATCAAACAAATGGAAGGAGAAATATTTACCAACAAATATCGCTGAAAGTAACAAGTGACAGGAAGCTGTGGAGAATCATGATCGCCAACTTCCTGAATGAACAGTGCACGTAGAAAGGCAGACAAATCTGATAAAATAAATGAAGGAACAAGAATCCCAAAGTTAAAGAGGAATTATAATGAAAGAACTATTGCTGAAATTAACAAGAGACAGGAAGTTGTGGAGGGCTATGAACGCCAACTTCCTGAATGAAGAGTGCACGTAGAAAAATTGATGAAGGAACAAAAATCCCAAATTTAAAGAGTACAGTAATCATAATGAAAGAACTGTTGTTGAAATTAACAAAAGACAGGAAGTTGTGGAGGGCCGTGATTGCTCACGTTCAAAAGGAACATGGCACATAAAAAGAGGGATACGATACACTCTTCCTTTAATAAGTAAATATCTATGTCGTGATACATTGTTTGTTATAATTTTAAACAACAAAATGAGTGATTGGTCAAGTATTTAAAAATAGTAACAGAACTGGTGTTCGCTTTAGAGAAACAATAGGCGATCATGTTGTCCTATTTTTCTACGATGAAACAATGCATCCGGGCAAGTCAGCAACTTCTAAATAAGGAGACAATAATAATGTCACCCGAACCTTAAAAAAAAATAAAAAAATGAAATAAATAAATAAAAATCCTCAGATTTTCTAAATGGAATCAAAGTAGGCAAAAAAAACCTATTAAATTTAGAATCATTTGCATTTCTATAAACCAGTTTGTTGTTATTTTCAAACGCTGTCAACCTATCTTACCCCCATCCTCCATCTTACTGCATCTCTCTCTCTCTCTCTTCTCTCTCTCTCTCTCTCTCTCTCTCTCTCTTCCCTTCCCTACCCACCTTCTTTTTTTTCCTGTGTTTATTTATTCTTTGTTATATCAGCAAGTAATTCCATTAATTTGCGGTCTTTTCTCAAGCAACTGTACAGCCCGTTCATTATATTACCGCGCTTAAACATCAGTGCTCTGTACTACGCTACTTTCGAAACGCAAATCTGTTCTCGCTCATAAATTTCCGGCCTGTTTGTTCCATTATAGTTGCAAATCGACAATTATGATATTTTTGCTTCTTTTAGTAAAAGGCTTCCTCTTAGAAAGATTGGCAAATACCGAAAAGTCACAATCATACCGACAAACTAACTCGAAGAGATCAGGTATTCATTTTTTTATATACTATAGCTAGACAGGTGGAAATTCCACAGCCTTTGCCAATTAAGATTATCCACCTTCTCCTACATTTGCACTTTTCCCATCTTTACTCTGTATCATCTCATTCTTTCCCTTATTCCTTCTAATCTTTGTCACCCGTCTATATTTTATCCTGATGGATTACCGCCCGCTCACAGGCGATGAGTTATTGAATTACCGCCCCCTGACAATAATCGCAGGCGGTGCGAGATTTGAAAGCCTCTTTCTCTTTCTCCTTTGACTTGCGAAGCGGCAAGTTCTTTTTCGCTCCGATAGACAAAGTATGTAAGTATTTCAGAGACACATACTGAAGGTTGCTTTGAACTTTTCTTAACTTTAACTTCCTTTCTGTAACATGTCTGTTTAATACGATTATGAATTGTTGTTTGTTTGAACTCCATGTTTTGTGACTTATTTGTATCCAGACCCACATGAGTCCACCAAATATTGTTTGCGAGACTAATGTACCAAAATAGATATAAAATGATTAACTTTCACTCTCGTAACAATCTATATGTTATAAAAGTATAAATTAGTTTCATATTTGAAAAAGAAAGGATCACAAATACTTTCTAGATTATCTTCTCTTATCTTTCTCTCGTTCTATATTCGCATAAAGAGTGTTGCTTCCCTGATAAACTAAAATCTTCAAAAATTTATATGCAACGTCAATCGCCATCTTCTATTTTCTTGAATCCCGTTCATCTTTTATCGTTTCCTGAATCCCCCCCCACTATACCTAGTCTTTTCTCTCACTTTTATTTCCTGTAATATCCGGCGTACTAGTGGAATTCCCGCCTTACTTAGGGCGAAATGATTAAACAAATGAATCCCAAGTTTTATTCCATGCGACATATTATGATCGTTGTCTCTCGGTATCCAGCCAATCAGCTTGTGTCTCTAAGTATTACTTTTATTTCCAAATCTACCAAAATGCTTTAACCATGTGAGCCCTGACCACAGCTTTACCGGCGGTAGAGAAAAATGACTTAATGCCCAACGGTGGGTAAACACTTGTAACTATTTTAATATCTACAGTGAAACATTACATACCAATTATTTACGAAATTTTGACTCAGGAGCCCAGACAGAAGGGTTTAAATTGTTCAGAAACGTAAGGCTCAAAGGGTTCAAATTAAAAATTAAAGTCCTCAAGGATACATGGCACAGTGGATAAAGACGTTGGTTAGATCCAGGACCCAAAGAGTGTGAGTTCCTAACACCGGTTAAGGCAGTGGAGAACTTTCAGAGGGGAATTAACAGGAGATAACTGATAATTGACATCCATTAAACATGGCACGTGGAACTAGAACAGTCTACCCCAGTGAGCGAAATAAAGGGTTTAGTTCGACATTCCAACCACCTGAAGAAGGCCGGAGCGAACAACGGCTGAAACGTTGTAATAAATATGGCGATAAAGATGAGGACAATAGTCTGAATAATGTAAATAATGTAAAAAAAAGTTTATTCTAAAATCGGATATTATCTAACAGCTTCATTGAATTTCAAAGCAATAAATATTCCAAATTGATATTATTTCTGTTACTATTTAAAAAAAAAAAACATTTTTTCCAGATAACATCACAATTACTCCAAAAGGATTTAAAAGCTATTTAAACTTGAATAAATCCGGCGAAATCCTTATATAACTGCAAAGTCGTGAATTTGTTTTTACAACACAAAAAAAGGTTGTTTATTCTTTATTCATTGACGTTATTGATAATTATTCATTATTGATAATTAATAATTATTCAAGTTAGCTTAATACACGTGTTATAGTGGAACACACCTATTCTAGAGTTAATGGACTCTCCCACCTATAATAAGTAGGAGTAGTAAGAGTAACGCGGGAGTCGCTCAGTTTGGTCAGTCAGTCGATGTCGGACGACAGTTAGTCGGATACTAAAGTATCAGCGACCACAACTAGATTTCTCTGCGTCATTACCTATTATATCAAGTTCCTGACGTTTTGTACGTCGAACCTATTTTAGGACCGACTTAGTACAAATACAAGCCTCCACTGTGAAACCACTCTACAACAACAAGGCAACATGGAATGGACTACAGTCGTTCCTCTTATCCGCGGGGGATGTTTTCCAAGACAACCAGCGGATACCTGAAACTACTAATTAAAGTCGGGGTGGAGTGTAAATCAAGCATTCTTTCAGATTTTTGTTTTTTAACATCTATATCCAAACCCCTGCCACAAAGTTTTTATACTTCATGTTGAGCCCCACCTAATTAAAACAGGTGCTAGCATATTTTGGCCCTACATAAACTAAGAATTCGCAAGGCTTACGGCCACATCATGTCGCAACACCAGTTCCCATACGATCACCGAAGTTAAGCAACGTTGAGCCTGGTCAATAGCTAGTGGGTGACCACTTGGGAATACCAGGTGCCGTAAGCTTGGATGTGCAGGTAGTGTAATGGATAATGGCTCAGAATTGTTAATGTGAGAGTCGAGTTCCAATTCCAGTTGGGTTCGTTATATTTATTTATGCGCAAATACCCTTGGGAAAGGCATGAATCCACCTCTTCTACCTTCACCCAACCTGATTTGGATTAATTAGGTAGACTTGTATCACTAAAAACATTATTATCTCCGCAAATAAAATCTTACAATTCAAAAAAAAAATTCCTTTAAATATCCTGCAAAAGATTGAGTCGTGGAAAACAATTCAATCAAACGACCAAGAATTCACAAGAAATTTTTAGACCTAGCTTACAGTCATATCTCGTTGAAACAACGGTTCTCGGCTGATCACCAAAGTTAAGGAGCGTTGAGCCTAGCCAGTACCTAGATGAGTGACCGCTTAGAAATAACAAGTGTTGTAAGCCCTTACCAACCTGCACTGGGCCAACGGGGTAGGGTAATGGCGCATTCCTCTCCAAAAATGCCAAATGGAAAAATCTGGAGAAGGACTACGCCCAACAAAGGGCTTTCACAGGCTGTTAAAGAAAGAAAGTTAGACTGTCCACACGTGCCTTATTAGATAAGAAGAATATAGGTTTTTTGTGTACATACGGGGAGGTGCTGAAAAGTTTTCGACACTACCAAGAAGTCTTTGGTCAGATTTTCAGGAAGGACGACAGCCTCCTTTGTACCAATGAGAAAAATGAAATGTATAAATTGGACACAGTAACAGATTTATTACAATGACTAATACTGAAATACTAAGCTAAAATTACTAAATATTGAGTTCAGTCAAAAGCCAAGAATTTTGGAAAATTGGCGCTACATGATCCTCCTTTCATAATAGTAAATCCTACATTTGTAAAATCTTCAATATTTCTAAGGTATAAATATATGTTTCTATATATATATATATATATATATATATATATATATATATATATATATATATAAAAGAAGTAAAAGATGCAAATGGCCAGGAAGAAATATACATAGGATGTACTGGAGGCAGCTTTAAGACGGGATGGTATAATCCCAAGTCATCATTCAAACTAGAAAGACTTAGGAATTCTTCCAGACTAACCAGACATGTGTGGGAATTAAAAGAAAAAATAACAAAGATCCGATTGCAAACTGGAAAATATTTAAAAAAAAAAAAAAAAAAGAAGCCAAACCTTACAGCAATCATAGTAATATCTGCAATCTTTGTCAGGAAGAGAAGTTAACAATTATAACATTTCCAGACCAGAAAAACCTGAATGAGAGACCAGATGCACACTAAAAAGTTCCTTTTGAGTTCCTACGAATCAGGATGAAAGTATGCATATTTCATAAACCCCGCCCCCGATACAATTTCAATACCCTTGATTTTCTCCTCCCCTTCTATTACACTTCGCGTTGTGTGTTTATATATCTTTAAATAATAAAGCGTTAAGAAATTATTTAGTCTGAATCGCTTGAAGATGCCGAAAGGTTGAAGCCAAGGTAGCGTGATCGACTGATCTCTTAATTTTATATATATATATATATATATATATATATATATATATATATATATATGGTTGGATTGATGTGAGTTTGTGACCCTGGGTTTCACGCTTTTGCGATTGTCAGACAAACTCTATTTCTGATATTGAGTTAGCTCTATCTCTGATATTGAGCGCTTTCTAATAAGTACCATGCATATAATATATAAATAATTATATATATATATATTTATATTTATATACACACACTTTTTCACACACACACACACATATATTTATATATATATATATATATATATATATATATATATATATATATATATATATAGTCATCTACAGATAGACTGTTTCGCTGTATCACGTCCGATTGCTTCAAGCCGGGATGTCTCTTTCTCATTCTGTTTTTCCCGCTCTTTTTTCTTTCTGGTTCTCTTTCTCTTTCCCTGTCTCTCTCTCTCTGTAACTTTCTTTCTCTCTCTGCTTCGCTCTTCCCTTTCTGCTTCTCCCTTTTTCTCTCTCATTTCGTTCTCTGTTTATTTCTTTCCACCTCTCTCTTTCCTTCTCATTTCTTTCCTTCTGCCACCTCCTCTCTCTCTCTCTCTCTCTCTCTCTCTCTCTCTCTCTCTTTCTTATCAACTCTAACGTCAGCTTAATTTCTAATCCCCGTAGGAACTTCTATTCCCTACACGCCCTAAAATGAGAGACGAAAACATAAAAGGACAATGACCCTTGACATTTGAACCTTGACTAAGCCTAACATAAGTCTCTAATGCTTTTCTTGTGTCATCTCATAACTCTCTACAAATTCCTATCCCTTCCTAAGCAATGTGTTATCCACGAAGCAGGCCAATCGTAAAGTGCTTCACTTGTAATATTATATCATTTTTATTTTCTACCTTTTAACTGTGTATTGACTTTTCTTGTATTGCATCTATAATCACCGATTTCTGACCACTTCTTTTATGTTATTGCCTGGTATTCAACTCCATTAGTTATATAAACAGGCTAATTAAAAACAAACAAAAACACGTTGTTCAAAATACGTTGCAGGTATTATAAACTATTGTTAAACACAATATGTATTTGCTTTGCTTCAATGTACAAGTTGGTCCGAAACATAATATAATTTTCTATTGCATAAGTAAGCATACCTTCCCTATTTTGAAAAATTATCATACTAAATTTTTGTTTGACTCAAGACGTTCTATACTACAGGTCTACTCATAGTGCAGCTAAGGGCCAGAATTGGAAATGTACTTTATAAGCTCTGCATTTCACTGGGAGCAACATAGTTTGGTTTTAGGCTTGTGGTTGTTCTCTGCTGTAATTGGCTTGAGAATTTTTTTGTTTTACATTTTGTTTACTACTAACCATTGGTATAGCATACCCGATTTTGAAAATCTCAAAAAATATATTAAATAAAAATCTTTATTTGAAACATTTTACATGCAGGCACTTCAAACTTTGTACTTTGAGTTAACATTAATAGGAACTGAAAAGCATATTATTTAGGTAAGAAAATCAGGTACTGAAAATTGTAATGAAAAATAGGAAAATTTTCACTAGGTACTGTATACCCATGGTTAGTGTTGTAGGGTTAATTGAAGTACAGCGTGGTCCAAAAGTCTTGTCACCCTCTACATAATATAATTTTCTTTTTCAACGCTCTGTTGGGCATTATCAATGAGAAAGTTTCACATGAACGATACCAGAATACCCACCAGTTTATAATAAACAGTATTAACAGCATTTATCGGCCTGAATACCCGAGAAACTTCATGGAAAATATGCGTCCTCCGACAAGAATCGAACCTCTACGGAACCGTCATATAGCCTGACGTGCTATACTACTTTAGGTACGAAGGTTTGATTCCTGTCATATTTTCTATAAAATTTCTCAGACGTTCAAGCCGGTAAATGTTGCTAATACTGTTTATTATAAACAGAACATTTACTTAAATATTTGTATCTATAAAAATAACGTATAAAGAATAAATATATTAAAATAATTGTCGAACTTAGTTCATATATATATATATATATATATATATATACACACACACAGTGTGACCCCGCCTATTCGCGTTTCAACATTCACGACTTCACACATTCGCGGATTTTTCTTTAAAACATATGTACTTGTTATTCGCGGAAACCCCGAAAATTCGTGTTTTTCGGTAGCACATATGTACAAATTATTCACTGAGAACTCTCTCAATTCGCGTATTTTTTTCAATAGAACATATTTAAAATATTCTTGTATTATTTTCCTGTTATTTAAATGACTTAAACCATATAACAGTCCATTTTTATGGTAAAAATTGGTAGAATTGTATATCTTCATTTGTAAAAAAACAAACGCAAAATCATGCGTAGTGCTTGGGCTTTGTTCTTTGTTAGGGGCTGTGGCTGGGGTCTTAAAAGTGGCTTATGCTAAGTCTGGGGGAATCATCACAGTTCTGTTTTCAAAAAATGTTTTAAACTTTATATTTTATGTCTTGTTACATATATTTTATACAGTATTTTCAATGGTTTTATTGATCTATACGTAATTAAAGACGGATATTGTACATATGAAAGAAAATTTATACTAAGTGTATCATCACTAATACTATTTTTCAAAAATGTTTTAAAAAGGGTCTGAAATGATTCTAAAATATTTAAGATGAAAGTTTAAGGCATATGGGGTTTTAGCGATCAAAATAGGTACTTATAAGCACTTTGGGTACGCGGGGTGCAAGTATTCGCGGATTCTAACTATCCGTGCTGGTTCTGGTCCTAACCCCCCGCGAATACGGAGGACTCACTGCATATATAAATATATATATATATATATATATATATATATATATATATATATATATATTATGAAATAGCAATATATATTTTTCTATATTAAGAAGAGTATTGAGGAAATTATAAGACAAAATAGAAAAAAATGTTATTGTTGACGCGTTTCATCCGTTAGGACTTCGTCAAACTTTGGCTAGTCACAGCAACGTCAACAAACCCAGTCCTGATGAAGTACGAACAGATGAAATGCGTCACAAATAATCATTTTTTCCATTTTGTCTTACAATTCTCTCTCTCTCTCTCTGTCTCTCTCTCTCTCTCTCTGTCTCTCTCTGTCTAGACTCTCTCTCTCTCTCTCTCTTTTTAGATATATTTTCATATATGTATCTAATATTATCTATATATATATTTAAAGATGTAATGGATGATAAGATAAACAACAAATAGGAAACGTTTATCAATTTAACATGTTTCACTTTCATTAAAGTTTCATCAGGTGGAAAAATCAGGTTTCACTTGCATTCGACTTGTTAAACCAACGTTAGTTTAATTTATGGCGTTCCAAATTCAAGGAGAGTCGACACGTCTCTCTCTCTCTCTCTCTCTCTCTCTCTCTCTCTCTCTCTATCTATCTATCTCTCTCTATATATATGCATATATATATATGCATATATATATATATATGCATATATATATATATATATATATATATATATATATATATATATATATATATATATATATATATATATGGAATATATAATAATAAAAACGAAAATATATATTATATATTTTATATATATATATATATATATATATATATATATATATGCATATGAAATAAGAATTATATTATTCGTAACGGTTCTTCTGATAACGAGGTGAAAAAAAAAATTACCTTTTAAAGGGAAACTATGCAGTTTTGTCTTTTTAAAATATATATATATATATATATATATATATATATATATATATATATATATATATATATATATATACAAGTTCGACTAAAAATTTTATTATATCCGTTAATGCTGTTTTGGCTGCAATCTGCGACTAGAAGCTGTAAAGCACACAAGGTTTTAATTTTACATAAATAGTTTAATGGCTGTAAATATATGTACATAACTATATGCAAGTTTTTATGCAGAAACAACATCGAACAGATAGATAGATACTAAATGCCTAAGATAGATAGATAGATAGATAGATAGATAGATAGATAGATAGATAGATAGATAGATATGAACTGACTAAAATAGATAGATAGATAGACAAACATGAACAAACTAAAATGGATAGATAGATAGATAGATAGATAGATAGATAGATAGATAGATGATAGATAGAACTAGATGATAGAAATAGATAGATAAATAGAAAAACATGAACAAACTAAAATGGATAGATAGATAGATAGATAGATAGATAGATAGATAGATAGATAGATAGATAGATAGATAGATAGATAAAAACTGACTAAAATAGATAGATAGATAGATAAATATGATATGAACTAAAATGGATAGATAGATTGATAGATAGATAAACTGACTAAAATAGATATATATATATATATATATGATAAATAGATAGATAGATAGATAGATAGATAACTAAGATATAAATATATAAAATAGATAGATATATAGATATATAGATAGATAGATAGATAGATAGATAGATAGATTTCACACGCTTCAATCTGTTTCCCATGCACTGTTGAGTTTGTGATTGTCTGCTTAATATAACTGTATTCTGAAAAGAAAAAGTATATTTTAACCATATTTGTCTTTTTTTATTTTATTTTATTTTTTTTTTTTGTGCTAAATTCATTGCATCCAATGTGAGCATATGAATACGCGCTGCAATTCCTTCACTCCCATGAACGTAACTCTTTCCTGTTTCATAGCCTCGAATAAATCCCGAATAAATCCTGTCTTAAACGAGCCAAAAACGAGAGAAAATCCTTAAAAAGAAATAATAAAAGAATTCACTTAAAGTTGATCCCTACCTTTGAATGTTAATAAATTGTCCAATTTAGCAGTTTGCGATCGACGGTTATTTTTGCTGAAAAGGCGAAGTTCCTCTTCCACTTGTCCCCAGCGCAACACATACGCCGTGTCGCAAACGTCCCGGTTAAAAGCAAAACGGCCAAGCAACTAAACGCCGCAGGTGAGAACGAGCGACAAAAACCTCGCAAATGACGCCAATGGTCGTTGTAGTAGCGATGGTGGTTGTGGTAGGAGCAGCAGTCGTCCTCGCCGTCGCTGTCGTTTCCTTTGTCATCGTCGTACACAACAGAAAAGATGGAGTGGAAGTCGTTATAGAAGTGCTAATGAGTGTCTGATGAAGCCAACAGGTAAGACAAGTGAATTAGAGGCGCACGAGGTAAAATCATGCGTAAAGAATAGTTATTATGACAGGCGTTAACTATTTTTCAATTTGTCTTCGCTCTTGGGCAAAAAGTCTCGTTTATTCTGTATAATTTAATGGGGGGGGGCTTACATTTCTGTGAGATAATCCAATACAATTTGAATTCATGCAGTAAAAATGGATAGTTTAATAATAATTGGAAAAAAGTAAACTTGACCAATTTCTATTACTGTTAAAAATAGATAGATAGATAGATAGATAGATAGATAGATAGATAGATAGATAGATAGATAGATAGATATGAACACACTGAGGAAACATAGATAGATAGATAGATATGAACAGACTAAGGATAGATAGATAGATAGATAGATAGATAGATAGATAGATAGATAGATATGAACAGACTGAAATAGATAGATAGATAGATAGATAGATAGATAGATAGATAGATAGATAGATAGATAGATAGATAGATAGATAGATAGATAGATAGATAGATAGATAGGAAGGAATAGGGCGCCTCGAGGTGGTGTAATGGTTAGCAAGCTTGTCTGGCTAACACAATTACGACTGAGTAGTGAGTTCGATCCTCACTGGGTGCCCCATACTTTCGGACTTGTGCCACATCTAAGTTACGCTTGGAAAATCACTAGATAGATATGAATAGACTGAAATAGATAGATAGATATTAACAGACTAGGATAGATAGATATGAATAGACTGAAATAGATTGATAAATCACATTTCAGTGTTCATATCTATATATATCAGTTTATTCGCATCTATCTATCTCAGTCTATTCATATCTATAACAGTCTTTTTTTAAATCAGAACCCATACCCCCCCCCCCGCCCAAGCAAGGCATTAATGCCACTAAGACACAAGAGGTTAGAGGGTGTGGAAGAATTTGGAAAAGATATATTAATGATGAGCAGAAAGGGAAGAGATTAATCAGGAGGGTAGCAGATGGCAATTGACATTGCATTTAAAATTTTTGCAGATTAAAGTTGGCTGAAAAGCCAGGAGCCGGAAGGGAGTTCCACTAGTGAGAAGTGCGAGAAAAGAAACTCTTAGCATAGAACTTACGGCTGCATCTATCCAACTCAACGGTAAATTGATGGGATCACGTCGCCAGTCTAGTAATGTGCTTAAATTTAAGAACTCAAGGTACCACAGCGAAGATTTCATTCATACAATTACCATGAACTTATTCATAGAAAAGACACAGAGAGGCAACTTTACGTCAGTGGGAAAGTAAGTGAACCCGAGCCGCCAGATCAGGAACAGTAATATTGCTGATTCTTTGGATCTTTTCAAGGATCTCAAGATAAACAGCAAGAGCACCGGACCATATATGGTAACAATATTCTAAGCATGGGTGAACGGTAGAATTATAAATATCTTCTCATATATATCCTCCCTCCCCTACTACCTCTTTCGCTCTCTCTCTCTCTCTCTCTCTCTATATATATATATATATATATATATATATATATATATATATATATAGACATTTCATTGAATACGACAAACAAGGTGCTTTTATTTAGTTTTTATACAATTTCTCATGTTATTTTTAAAAAATTTTTTCATTTCGGATTATAAATTATATAAAAACTGTCCGAATGTTCTTTTTATCCGAGCGCTTTCGGCTATACATTTAGAAATTTTCAAGGATTAAATATTTTAAATGTTAAATAAGAAATAGTTTGTTGTATGTATGTTTTATAAAATGTTTTCATTTTTCAAAACACGGTCAAGATATTGTGTCCATGTTCAAAGTTAATATTATTAAGTGTTGGTTTTTTTTTTGTTTTTATTAATAAAGCATCCATTATTTTTATCCTTTTTTTTTTTTTTTTTTTGCATGTAGATGATGCTATTATATTTGTGTTGTCCACAAGTATATTACGAATAGTGTCCGGTAGGTCTTCATGAATATTTAAATGAGATCTAATTGAGCTATGGTCACAAAAGTGTAGAGTGAGTCTGCGTGTCAAACATGTTGTAGTGTGGCCTATATGATTATTTACGAATTTTCATTGATCAGAAATACAATTCCTTAATGGGCATTTAATTCGTAAATAAAATTTGCCCTATTTAATTTCATGCAACAAATTATTTCTGGAACACCCTTTATATATATATATATATATATATATATATATATATATATATATAAGGGGTGTTTCAATAACTTGGACCGATTTTAAATGTGAATTAAGTTTAAACGGCTAATGATTTTTCTTCTTTTTCTCTCAGATTAGGCGGATATTTGGGCGATATTAGTTTTCACACATAATTGCCATGACTTACCTAACATGATCCTAGAGAGAAATAAATACATTTTCACCAATAACACTGATTTATTTACTGCTGACTTTGATCCGTCTTAATGAAACACCCTTATATATATATATATTCATTCTTAGAGCTTATATATATATATATATATATATATATATATATATATATATATATAAAAAAATATAGTTTTAAGGTGTTCTATATTTATGGGATAAAGTGCTCAATATCAGAGATAGAGCGTATGTAAATATAAATATAAAAATAAACATTGAAGTCAACACTCAGAGGCGACAGGCTGTTTCATGCTAGACGCAATTCCTCTGAGTGTTGACGTCAATGTTAACTTTTATATATATATATATATATATATATATAGAGAGAGAGAGAGAGAGAGAGAGAGAGGGTGGAGACAAAAAGAGAGAGAAAAAGTAAATATAACAAATCCATTGGTATATAATCCAAGTGGATCCTAGTAATATAAAATATTAAAACTGATTCACAAAAAGAGTTGAATGTATTTATTAATAGATAGCAATATAATTAATAAACAATAAAATCCAAAATTACCTCATATGGGGAATAGCCTATTTCGACAGACAAATATATCGGTCGTCTGTCTTATCAACCCTGGTTTGGACTGAGTTCGTGTCAGAAATAGAAATTTAACTACAAAAAAAAACACCAGTCGAAAAACCATATATATATATATATATATATATATATATATATATATATATATATATATATATATAGGATGAGAAATTTTAGTGATAAACGTAGAAAATAAGCAACTTACGTTTCACCTCTTCTCTTGATGTTAACCTTAGTCTATCCAAATGGTTCTACAAACTGTTAAACAAGTGATAATCAGAAGAAGCAAGATGGAGAAAATATGGAATATGAAGCAATTATTCCTAAACGACAAGCATAATCGTGATGGAGGATTACTTCCTTTCTGTTGAGTAATGGTGAACGTTTTCTCTCCAAGGCTACTTTCAAATGACGAATTTGTTGGCAGGAGAGATCAATATTGATTGGTTGATTATTGTCTAAACGTTCATAATGGATGAGTCCAAAGCTATCTTTTTCTTTCCATTCTTTTCTAAAACTTTGTCGTTGCTCACATTTTCGGCCCATGGTATGAAGATCTTAATAAAACAGCAGTCTGCCGACATGCCAGTGAATTCTGGACAACGTCATCACAGTTGAAGAAGAGACTTGATGCAACAGAAATGCCGTTCTAAATGGACCTAAAATGTGAGACGGCGTTGTTTTAGAAAAAAATAAATAAATAAACAAAATGTCACTTACACATAACGTTAGAAAGAAACAGTTAAATTTTTAGGGTCCATAATGAGAAAAAAGGGCTCGGATACTCACAGAATATATTAAAGACAAGAGGGACAGATAAAAACGCATAACCTGCCTAGCGAAGTTACGTCAATGGATGGCAGGACAAGGTTTAGTAGAGATAACCAGAAGACGAAATTTAATAAAAGCTACACGGAGAAGGAAATTGTGGAGAACCGTGATCGCTCAAATTCTGAAGTAGTGTTTCTCAACCTTTTTAAGCAACCTTGGAGCAAATGAAAATACCACGGCACACTTGGCAAAATTTTAAAAATGTATACATTTAAATGTTATGAAATAAAACTATAAATTTTGAATTACACAAAGAATGTTGAATACACTTATATGAAGAAAGTTAATATTCAGTAAAATTTTTAAAAATTAAATTTAAAAATTAAAAATACTTTTTTAAAAATGAATATTAAGATAAAAGGATTCAAAATAGCATAATCGAAGAATAGTGAAAAGTATTATTTTAAAAAAGTTTATTCATTTATTCAAATACTAAGGCTGCACCATTACGACTTCCGCACACAGAGAGAGAGAGAGAGAGAGAGAGAGAGAGATATATATATATATATATATATATATATATATATATATATATATATATATATATATATGCGTGACAATATTTCGCGGTACACTTAAGAGAATCGCGCGGCATACTAGCATGCCGCGCCACGGCAGTTGAGAATCACTGACCTATAGGGACACGGTACATAAAAGATGATGATGAAGAAGAAGAAAGACAAGAAGACAAAACATCAGAAAAAGGAAGAGAAGAAGGAGAAAATGAAGAGGAGGCAGAAGAAACAGAAGAAGAAAAAAGAAGAAACAGAAGAAGAAGAAAAACGGAAGAAACAGAAGAAGACAAAGAAGAAGAAGAAGAGGAGAGAAAAGAAGAAGAGAGAAGAAGAAGAGAGAAGAAGAAAAAATGAAGAAGAAGAAGAAGAGAGAAGAAGAAGAAGAAAAAGAAGAAGAAGAAAAGAGAAAAGAAGAAGCGAGAAGAAGAAGAAAGAAGAGAGAAAAAGAAAAAGAAGAAGAAAAGAGAAAAGAAGAGAGAAGAAGAGAGAAAAAGAAAACGAAAAGAGAAAAGAAGCGAGAAGAAGAAGAGAGAAGAAGAAGAGATAAAAAGAAAAAGAAGAAGAAAAGAGAAAAGAAGAAGAAAAAGAAGAAAAAAAGAGAAAAGAAGAAGCGAGAAGAAGAAGAGAGAAAAAGAAGAAAAGAGAAAAGAAGAAGAGAGAAGAAGAAGAGAGAAAAAGAAGAAGAAAAAGAAGAAGAAAAGAGAAAAGAAGAAGAGAGAAAAAGAAGAAAAAGAAGAAGAAAAGAAGAAGAGAGAAGAAGAAGAAACAAAAGAAGGAGAAAAAGAAGACGGAAAAGAAGAAGAAGAAGAAGAAGAACCTGTAATGCCGCAAGTCAAACATTAAAGTTTCTGAAGATTAAACCTTTACAATTTTTTTCTAGCTAAAATGAATTTGATTCTATTGTGGCCTTTTGAATAATCCTTTCTTAAATACTCTCCATTGATTTTAATTATATCCGATATTATTATTTCAAGACAATCTATATAATAATTGTACTTGTCCCGCCCGCCTTCATTAGTTTGCACGTCCGTTACGCCCTGCCAATACCTCATAGATAATGGTCGGTTCCGTTTTGATCTCGTAGAAAGCAAGGAAAAGATACTGCTTGGTTTCAGTGAGAAAAAGAAAGAAAGAATGAAAGAATGAATGAATGAAGTATTTAACGTCTCCTGCCATTGTTAATGGACTATTCTGTTTTGATCGTTTGAAAAGCGGGGAAAAGACGCTAGTTGGTTTTGGTGAGAAAATGAATAAAAGAAAGAAAGAAAGAAAGAAAGAAAGAAAGAAAGAAAGAAGAGAAAAGAAGATAGATGTGCTTCACAGATGTTTCAATGAAATGGAAAAGTTGTCAATTTCAAATCTTTTCATTTGTATCCCTTTACTTCTTAAAATAATGACCATCATTTATATATATATATATATATATATATATATATTTATTAAAGACATTTTTATGTTTAACGTTCTTTTTTATAGATACAAGTATTTAAGTAAATGCTCTGTTTATAATAAACAGTATTAAATAACATTTACCGGCCTGAATATCCGAGAAATTTTCATAGAACGTTAAACATAAAAATGTCTTTAATAAATAAATTGTCGGATTTTGTCCATTTCTTAATATATATATATATATATATATATATATATATATATATATATATATATATATATATGATTGTTATTGGAATATTTTGTTAATGTTGTTAAGCTCAAATATTTAACGATGGGATAGGAGAATTTATACGGGTATTTTGTTTTTGTAGAACTTGCCATGAGCTTATTCAACATGTTAACTTAAGATGTAAGATTCATCAGAATATCCAAATAGAAAAATAATATTTTCACGGGTCTTTCTAGAAAAATACATTCATTAATTTTTAATCTTAACCATCACCAATGATATACACCAGGCATTTCAAGCCAAAATATCTGACATTATTTCCTCGTGTCCTGCAATTAGTTCTCGCCATGAGCAAGACTGAATTGTAACGTACATTGATTGTCAGTGTTCGATTGTAATAACCGAATATACGAAAGTGGGTCCAAAATTCTGCAGCTTTTTTGCTGAATTTTGATCTGAAAATTTCAGTGTATATTACGGCTAATATTCATCAAGTGCATTGACAAAGGAAGGGATAATGCTAAAAAAAATATTTGTTGTTCAAAATAAGTGTTTCCTCATCATTAGGCTACTGACATATTAATGCAAATACGTTTGTTTATTTCATTGTTCAGCGACCTATCAACATCTTTATGGGTCATTTAATGCCAAAATTTCATTTTCTTGGCAGTATTATTCATTTCATTTACAATTAGGGATTGCTGGTATTTTTTTTTCAAAAATGTGATGCTGGTCAATTTTTTTACTCTGAAAATATATTTCTGGTACTTGTTAACCATTACACTACGACGAGGTGCGTAGCTTAGACGTGAGGCCGAAAGCGTGGATCGAAATCACTATTCACTTGTAACTTATCTAGCGAGACAAGCTTGCTAACCATTACCCCACTTGATGGTAGATGGCAAAGAAAATATGTCTCAATATATCCCGAGTCTTATATATAAAAAGTTTATATAGATGGTAAGCTCATGTTTACCTAAATGATTATTGCAATTTATTCCGTCTACACCAATCCTATACTTGGGTATATATATATATATATATATATATATATATATATATATATATATATATATATATATATATATATATATATATATATATATATATATATATAATTTTTTTGTGGTACAGAATTTAATAATAGATAGGAAAAAGACAAAATTTATAAGGCATTTTAAAAGAAAAACTAAAAAAAAAAAAAACCGGTTTCGTCCCAGGACTTATCAAGTTTTATTTTCTGGGAATAGAAAATTTAAAAAAGCGTGTAAATTAATTTAAATTAACGAATGGAATGAAATGTAAGAGAAGAAAAAGGTATATATATATATATATATATATATATATATATATGTGTGTGTGTGTGTGTGTATGTGTGTGTGTGTGTGTGTGTTGTGTATTTAAGCAACAATCCTTCATTTATGCATGTTTCATTAAAAACAACAGACAAGGTATTGCGGTTAAACTTTTTATTTAATTTTTCTTTTGTTTGAACAAGAACTTTCTTTTTCGGACACAGAGTGTGTGGAAAATGTTCAAATGTTCTATAGTTCCAAGCGCTTTCGGCTATACCTTTAGCCATTATCAAGGATGATTTTTCTTATCAGTTTAATTGAGTGTGTGTTGTTATGTGTATGTTTTTAGTGTTTTATAGAGGTGTTTTATAGAACATTTGGACAGTTTCTACACAGTCTGTGTCCGAAAAAAAAAGCACTTGTTCGAACACAAGAAAAATTAAATAAAAAGCTTAACTGTAGTACTTTGTCTGTCGTTTTTAGTGAAACATGCCTATATATATTATGAAATGGACTAAGTCAATATATTGGACTATTTCAATAACTGTTTATCTTAGAAACTTCTGCTTATAATAAACAGTAATAACTAAATCAGACTGAATGTCCGGAGAAATTTCGTAGAAAATATGTGTCCTCAACAGGAATTGCCCTGTATCCTACAACCGATTTATATATATATTTATATATATATATATATATAAATATATATATATATATATATATATATATATATATATATTAAGGTATATTTAGGTAGCAAGTATATATCCAAAGAAGTTTGATGAAAAAGAAATGACAAGGTCTGTCTGTTAATTTTTTTATTATATTTTTTCCGTATTCTTTGGGAAGCTGGACATATGAAATGGTCGACAGTGACGTGATGTGTAAACGGTTATTGGAAACGAGGCTGCACAAAAAGAATACGATTTATTTTATTTTATTTTTATTTATTTATTTGATTTTTAATACAAGATGAGGCAGAGAGGACGCACGTTTTTAAAAAAAATCATATCATTAATTTTATTAGAACATTGAATAAGTTATCGCTGATTTTTCATGAAAAGTAATGTTTTATTTACAAATATTCGTAAGAAACATATCACTGAAATTATTATCCATTGCTAGCTACTACTTTTCCCCATCTTTCTGGCAACATTTGTATTCCACGTCGGAAAAACGACACGTCTTTTGAGGCTAACCACGAGTCGATCCATTTTTTGGCATTTTCATAAGAATGAAACAGGTGATAATCAGGGATTGCAATGTCTGGTGAATACGGCAGATGGAGTAGGACTTCCCATTTAAGCGTTTCCAAGTAGGTTTTCACGCGTTTTACAAGATGTGGCTTAGCGTTGTCATGTTGCAAAACCACTTTATCGTGTTTCTGCTCGTATGGCGACTACTCTTTCTTCAATGCTCGGCTCAAACGCATCAATTGCCATATCACGTGATGGTTTCGGTCGGTTTGAACAGCTCATAATAAACTATACCCAGCTGATCCCATCTTCGACCCATGAATATTCGACTTTACCTCACGATCTTCTACGCTTAAAGTTATCGTAGTGTATCCACTTTTCATCACCGATACGATGCAAAAAATCTTTCGTTTTCTTCCGTTAAAGTAGCTGTTCACACATGACAAGACTCCGTTAGACGTCTCTCAGCTTCAACTCGTACGGCACCCAATGTCCTTGGTTTTGAATCATTCCTAATGGTTTCAAACGTTTCGAAACGGTTGTGTGATTAATTCCTAATGATTTTGCAAGTTCAGCTTGTGCCTGACATGAGTCTTCATGAAGTAATACCTCCAATTCTTCGCCTTCAAACTTTTTCGGTGCGCCAGAGAGTTCTTTACCTTCAACATCAAAATCATTATTTTTGAAACGTCTAAACCAATCTCTGCATGTTGCTTCCGACAGAGCATGGTCACCGTAAGACTTAACAAGAATTCTGTGTGCTTCAACTGTAGATTTCTTTTGAATAAAGTAGTGCAATAAAATTCCCCGCAGATACACTCTCTTTGGCACGAAATCCGACAAGTTGAACGCTATGAAAAACAAAGTTGTTTACACTTCGGCGAAATGAGATACACTGAATTTCATGCTTACTTATTGTACATCCTCATAGATGCGCTACCATCTGGAACTACATGCACGCAGTTCTGGAAACGCCATCTGTTGGAAAATAGCGAGAACTTATTCAATGTCCTAATAGCTTCAAAAAAATTTTATTGATATTATGAATGTGTTCGTATTGAATTAGCATTTGAGAAAATCAAATATGGAAAACAACATCCTTCATGTGGTGTCCGTTTTTATTGATGCATTTCTGAAGGCGTTCTTGGAAAATTGGCCTCCATTCTTTCCAGCATTGCGTCACTTTTTTTGGCTGTGCTGTGGAGTTTTGTGCAGTTCACTCAGATTTTCAAAAGTCTAATAACGACAATTCTGTTGATTCACTATGCCATTGAGATGAAAATGAGCTTCATCACTCATTAACAAAATGAGGTTATCATTTGTCTCAGAAATTGCTTCCATCTGACGTGCGAAATTAAGCCGCTGTGCATAGTGCTCTGGTCGCAATTGTTACCCAATGACCAATTTGTAGAGGTGAAAATGCAGATCTTCATGCAAAATACGCCTTACCGAACGATTATCGATGCAAAGTTCAGTAGCATGCCTCCGAGCAGATAGATTCGGACGGCGCAGAAAAAATTGTCTGACGCGTTCCATATTTTTTGAAGTACGTACCGTTCGTTATTCTTCACGAAATTGTCGTTGGCGAACACGCGGTGCTCCATCGTCCACAGCGCCATGGCTTCAATTGAAAAGACAAAAAGAAAATGCTACCCAGCGTATCGAATGGTACCTGTCAGACATATGTCTCTCCCCTTGGGGCTGAGTAATTGCCATTTCAAAAACGTCCGTCTTCTCTGCCTCACCCTGTACTAATATAATATATGCACACATTAATTATATAATTTGCAATTCAAGATACTAATGCATTTTCGATGAATGGTGATCCACCTACTCTCGAAACACTGCCGATATCTACTCACCACAACTAAACGTTAAACCACATGAGGCGCGCTTTTTAAAAAATGTTTTGACACAATCTTCTCGCTATTTAAAAAGATACTCAAATTTTTCTTCTTACCAATAACTACCACATTTAACCCACCAAAACAAAGAACTCGGGGCCGGCTTACCTGATGTTGTTACGACCCACTAGCTGTCATTCTTGACAAATATAATTTAGATAATATATTTTTTGTTCACTATTTACATTATTCGGACTATTGTCCTTATCTCTGTTGCCATGTTTATCACAACGTTTCGACCGTTGAACACTCCGACCTTCTTCAGGTGGTTGGAATGTCGAACTGAACCCTTTATTTCGCTCACTGGGGTAGACTGTTATAGTTCCACGTGCTATGTCTAATGGATGTCAGTTATCTCCTGTTAATTCCCCTCTCAAAGTTCTCCACTGCCTTAGCCGGGTATTGAACTCACACTCTTCTCCTGTCACTGGATTTAACTAATGCCTTTATCCAATGTGCCATGTGTACAATGGCCGAAACGTTGTGATATACATGTTGACAAAGATGAGGACAATAGTCCGAATAATGTAAATAATGTACATAATGCCTCATCTCAGAAATATAGACAGATACTGAAAGGCCGAAACGTTGTAATAAATATGGCGACAAAGATGAGGACAATAGTCCGAATAATGTAAATAATGTACATAATACATCATCTCAGAAATATAGTCAGATACAGAAAGGCCAAAATATTGTAATAAATATGGCGACAAAGATGAGGACAATAGTCCGAATAATGTAAATAGTGTACATAATACTTCATCTCAGAAATATAGACAGATACTGAAAGGCAGAAACGTTGTAATAAATATGGCGACAAAGATGAGGACAATAGTCCGAATAATGTAAATAATGTACATAATACATCATCTCAGAAATATAGAATGATATTTTTTGTTATTTAACAGGTAGAGTAGGGTGATGTTTTCTCACAGAATATAGCCCAAACTATCACATTATCTCTAGTGATTTTTTCCCAGAGTGCATTCTGGTGTCATCACTTCCAAACGATATGCAGCTCCATACGCATCAATGATTGGTATACTGTATGTTGTGACACGTTCCACCCACCATTTTGATTAAAGTTATCTGGATTTTCTACCACTTTAGCTCTTCTGTTGGCTTGTAGTTAGCTGGAAAGTCGAATGGCATTGATAAGTTTTTTGCCTCCAATATCTTATGAATTTCTTGGGTTCTTTCTTTTGTTGACGACTAAGCATTATTTCTTCTTGCAGCTAATAGATAGTCTTTTCTTCTTGCTTTCCGATACTACCTTGTTCAAAGTTCTTTCAGATTCCATTTTGAGACTGCCATCACGCATGTTATGTTGTTAAAATTGTTCACCCGAGTCATGTTCTTAAATATCTTTGTCAGATGGATATTTCAATATGGAAGTCATACATGACGCCAAACCTGTTCAGAAATATCTAAACTGTCAGCTCCATACAATAAGATCTTAAGGCTTTGAGCAAGTAAAACCTGAGGGTCTTAGCAAAGGTCATCCTGCTTCGAATATTGAGGACTGGCGCTACAGAATCATAAACAAAGAACTGTACCAAATAGCAGAAACCACATCACTTGAGGACTACCAATAGTGGCGACAACTAAAATGGATAGCACACAGAACTCGAAGAGAAAATAATGACATAATTAAGGTGATAACATTCCACACCATGTCAAATAACAGATTAGGAAAGAACCCTTCATCCATATTGGAAAGAGCAATAACAGCTACTGGACTTGAGAAACCTGTTTTCTTAAAAATTGTTTTAAGAAAAGATTTTATAAATTTCAACCGAAAAAATCACTGCGAAATGTTTCCTTGAAGAGAATATAATAATAATAATAATAATAATAATAATAATAATAATAGTTGGCCACTCGTATTCGAGAATACCCGTCTATGAAGGCGACTAGCCAATCCCTATTGCAGACGCCTTCTCAGGCACATTTGGGTTTGCTCAACACCCACAGAGCCCAACTGTAGTTTATACTGTAACTATGCTGAGCAGACCTTAGTTACAGTTTCTGGGAGAGAACGTGTTATCTAGCGTGATCAAAAATTTGAACAAGACCAGCATGCTCAAACTCTCGGCCACGATGACTTGTGACTTTCTGCTAGCACAGCTATCGACGGTCCTCAAGAGTTCCGTCTACTCAATTTGACTCACAAGGCTTGGGCCAACCCGTAGTATGGTTTTCAGGCACTTTCCAAAGGTGCCGCATGCTGGGATATATATATATATATATATATATATATATATATAGAGAGAGAGAGAGAGAATTTTAGCTTTACCGTTACTATAATACATCCTGACAAGTCTTTCTTTTAGATTTCTTAAGATCGACTCGCTATATAGGTTAAATGAATCCAGTAAGTAAATTCATTCTTGTTTTACTCTTCTTGTTTGCGTGATTTTTTGTTTTTGTTTTTTTTTTTTAGTATTTACAAAATTCGTTCTCTGTCCGCATGAAAGCTGTTTATTCCAAGTAAAGATTACTTGAATATGTTTCCATGCAATCCCAACTTTTCTAGAATTTAAACAGTTCTTTGCGTTATGCCTTTTAAAATGCTTTTATGTAATCTATGAAACATGGGAGTAGGTTTTGTGTAATCTATGAAATATAGGTATAGATCTTTCTCCATTTGTGTTACTCGTTCTGATACCATTCTGATTATAAAGATTGCATTTCTTGTTCCAGTATCTTGAACAAAGATACTCTGCTCTTGCTTTATTTCTGATCTAATTCTCTATTCACTTCTATTCATTTGAATTCTGATAATAAGTTACGTGGCTCATTAAACTGATTGTCTAATGGAGTTCGCATTCATATGCAACGGCTTCTTTCGCGTCGTTGTGAAGATAGAACTACTGAGATCTTCCGGTATTTCACCGCTGTCATATATTTAATATATTATGTCGATAATCTTACGTTATATTTGTTGCAGTATTATCTGGCCCTGCTGCTTTGTTTTTGTCCATCCTTGCCAGTGCTGATCTTACCTCAGATTTTAATATTAATGGTTCTTCTATGTTTTAAGTGCAATAGGATTCGCACACGTTCTATTTTTTAAGTATATTTTCTTTATGTATTGTAAACGTTGGCTTTTTTAAACTCCATTCTGTTGATGGTTGCATTTTTATCCTGTTAGTGCTTTCATTCTAGTTAAACGGATGACAAATAAAAGTCCCGCGTGAGTCTCGAACTCGTAAATGCTCGTTTCCTAGCAGGGTGCGCTTACATCTTGTACGAACGGTAATGGTTTGTCTCAGTAAAATTGGTTAATTATATTCTACCTATTCTGGTTAGCATTAGAAAAAGAGAAATGTAATCTTGTGACGTTCGCCCCTGACATCCTCTTTGCATGAGACATTATTTTCTATTAAAAGAAAACGAAAAAAACATTTACTAATGGCGTCATCAGAGTATTTTCGTTATATGTTTTACTATTATATCTATTCTCGCTAAAATGATTCATCGTGTTAAACGATTTTTTTAAACTACAGATGGGGATCAAACACATAAGTACGAAATTGCTATCGTAATGAAAACTTAGTGTTTATAAGTCGCGTTGTTCTTTCACGATTATATGTTTTTCTATGAAAACTAAAATAGTGACAAGACGAACGTTTTCATTGAAGCTCTAACTGAAATTCGCCATATTCCTCTCAGAATATCAACTACTGTTAATAAGAATTGATTGACTGGCTTAAAGGAGGAAACTCCCTATTTTTATCTGATTACATTATGTTAAGAAAAACATAAATAAAAGCTACAGTTGATTTAAAATGTACAAATTCCTCTCGCAATAATTACTTTTCAGTCAACTGTGATCTTTAAAAAAAGTAAATACATTGCCGATCGCCATTTTTTTCTTGGCCTCTCTCCTAAATTCTTTTCCTCTGGTTCTTCCACACCCCCTTGTCTTCGTAACTTTATCGCCTTGCTTGGGGCAAAATAATTTTTAAAAAAAAAATCTACTTTCTATAGATTATAAATACGGCGCAATAAGCGATGCAAAGTTAACGCCAACGGCTATCGGCGCGAAAAGGGCAATCGACAACACGAGTTCAAATTCCTGCATTCCCTTAGCACTAATGCTCTTGGGAAAGGAATGAATCCACTCCTTCTCCCCATCTACGGGTTAAATAGCAAGGTAGACAGGACTCTGTAGCCTTGTGAGGCAACCATTTTAGAAAAAGCACTACTCTGAGATCAAAACCATGAAGAAGACATAAGTATAACATCATACACCATTTCCAAAAGGTCATAGCTGTTCTCAGATAGAAATAAATGGATGTCCACTTGGGAATACCAAATGCTGTAAGTTTGGATGTGCGGGTGGTGTAGTGGATAATGGCTCGGAATTGTTAATCGTATAGCCGAGTTCCAATTCCCGTTGGGGTCGTTCACTTACGCGCAAATACTCTTGGAAAAAGTATAGATGAACCTCTTCTACCCCCGGTCACTACTATAAATACCGTAATTCCCCATGTATAATACACCTTCATCCATAATACGCACCTCTAAAATTGTGCTGAAAGTGTGGGAAAATGCGTCTATTCACGCATAATACGTACCCCCTTGTTTGGTAATGAAACCCTATAAATTGTACCTCTCCAATTG